CCTGTTTATCTTCTCCATCATACACAACCCTACGTGGTACTACCTTGGTGGTGAGCTCGTTCTATTGTCTACCTCGCGCGGCACCTCCCTTCACCTATGACAGCAGATGTACCGGGAGGTCAGAAATCGGTCTGTCCTGCCACCTTCACCAGTACATTGGCGTCTGGGACAGCACCTGGCCTCAGCAGATGCTCACAGAGTCAGGGCTTTATTTGCTGAGGCAATGAGTGGAGCGTAACCCTGAGAATATATGTCCTCAAGCACTGCAATGTGCCGATGAAAAATGTCATTGCAGGGTGAAATTTTGTGGTTTTCTCTTTTCTGTTACTTGGAACAAAATGCATTTTTTTATTTGCTGGAACATGTACTATTAGAGCCTTGTGCCCCTCTCTCTGTCTCCTTAGAAGCTAAAGATGCTTCTATTAGAAGTTCTTCCCTCCTGCCCTTTGGTCCACTTCACCTGTTTAAGAGAGGGTGTGTAGCCGAGATTGAACTTGCGGCTTTTGCAAACACATGAAGCAGGTGTCTTCGTGGACACTCTGCCCTTGTACGTCTGACCTAAGAGGACACATGTAAGAAAATGCCTTTCTTCTTTTGTATAAGCCCCGATCGCCAACTGAATCAACACACGGAAGATGAGAATGGCTTTAATAAGGCATAAGAGAGAATGACACAAACGGGCTAGACCATTTGATGTAAAGGCATCTGGGAAGCTCAGATGGGAGGGCAAAATCCCCTGGGTGAATTTTAAAGTCACGCCGTGTAGCTGCTGGGATCACACAGCCCTCCCCTGATGCATGCTTCTGAACACGTAATGTTCCCGGGGAATCATGACCATGAGCAATAGCTCTCGCCAGCCTGCATGCCTGAATGAACAGCTGATTCTGGCCTTCTGAGGGTTCCACGATGGCAAGAGAACACTAAGGGAGAAGACATTTTGAAAGATTCTGTCTCAGCTAGATAATGAATCCAGAGAAGGTGAGTGGGGGAAGCCTGGCACAAAAAAACCTAGATGAATCTGCATTTCTAAGGGCTCAGTAGACGAGATTCAAACTTGGCAAGAACCTGTTCTCCCTTTAAGCCGTCCCACATGGTGTTTTGAGGGTGAAGCTTCCCACGACTTTCTCATAGCAGAGGGAGTGTTTTCTTTGGGGGAAATGGTAGGACATCCTCTGATGTCTTAGAAACAAGGGAGACGGCAGTTTTCAGGTATCTTTCAATGTACTCTACCGTAAGCCTCCCCTGGATATTTTTGAATGGGAACAAGTACTGCTCTTGATGTGGAGGACACGAGAAATCTGATGTGCATGTCAATGCTGAAATGACGGGCACGTGCAAAAGTGCCGTGGAGCCAGAGCTGGCCATTCATCCTTTCCATTCCTGTGTGAGACGGGGCTTCCACTGGTTAGTTGGGCGCTTATTCATGCCACTGTGGAAGGTAGTAAGTAGACACCTCCTCCATCACCAACCCCTCCAGCACCAACTCTACCTCCACCATCACCACTTCCTCCATCATCCAAACTTCACCATAGGGCGAAAGCTGAAGACTCAGGCTGTTAATAGACAATGAAAAAGGTCGCGAGGTAAGGATTCGTGGTTCTCAGAGTCTAGTCCCGAGACCAGCAGCTCAACATCACCTGGAAGCTTGTTAGAGATACAAATTTCCTCATCTCTGGGGACAACTTTACCTGCTCTGCCCACTTGGCAGTGAAACTGAGGACACCAACCAGGACCTTAAGATGCTGTTTGATGTAATAATTTGATGGTTGTCATCAAAACACCAAACCCCTTTATCTCTAGTTTATGAACACAAAATTCTGTTGCTAGATACGGTTATCCACATTATAACTAAGTTATAGATATAGTTGCATACGTTTTCTTTATAAGTAGGGAATAAACTAGTAGAAGGTCAGTAGGATTTTGGGAGAATTGAGGTAGTTAACTCTTAAAATGATGCCTGCAAGCAGTTGATTGGAGACCTACAGACTGAGGACCATGAAGCTTACTTCACACTCAGGGCTGTTTCCTCTAGGAGTGCCGAGGCTCAGAATTCAATGAAGATGAGGCTGGAGTCCCAGGTGGTGTCATGGGCAGTGTTGCAGCTGAGTAGCTGCCTGGCTCCCTTTCCACTGAGTCATGGAAAGCCTGGCTCGCAGTTATCGCCCTGGACCCTCACTTGGCCATTGCATTCTGGGTTGGGGCCTCGTTCCCAGCTCCCACTGCCTTTGTCTCCTCTTGTAGGCCTACCTCAAGCCCGTTTCCCTCAGTGCAATGCTTCTTCTTGGGGATGAGTGGCTGTCCAGCCTCCTCTATGAAGCTGGTCAGGCCCAGCTAGGGACCAAGTCAGCCAGGAGACTGGAGCCCTCAGCAGGGGACAGGCATCAAGCACTGAAATGGAATGGACCCTGGCACACCCCTCCCGGTTAGATTGTTCAAGCTGGTCTTTTACTAGCTGTGAGGTTGGGAGGTCATTTTTAACCTGGGAAAGTGCCAAAAACGAAAGCATTCCAACCATCTAGAGTGTTGGCCCTGCCCACGTGGCCGGAAAATGTAAATCATGAAGGCTGTGCACAAGGTTGTCTCTAGAACTGTCCAACTGGAAGAGAACCACATCTCCTCCTCTTTCGAATGGTTAGGGTGGTCATACCTTCCAGATTCCCAGCAAGGAGAGCTAAAAGGAGAGCCAAAGTTGATTCCAGTAACCAACCAGAGTTGCCTGCAGTCTCATAAGGATTTACTTGGAACTTGTTTTAGGGAAAAACCAGATCTTTCGAATGGATATTTTAAAATGTTGCTTGATATTAGAATGGGGTTAATAGTCCACTCATCTACTTCCCTCTGCTGGACTGCTCAGGGAATAATGGTGGCCCTGAGCTATCACCTTGGAGCTCAGCTCAACCGGTGGCCTGCCAGTAGCATCTCCCCTGTGTTGACAAGGGGCGCCGAGCTTGAACTCTATCCAGGCCGGGCTTCCCAGCATTTGCCTGGGGCACCATGGCCTTGACAATTCCCACTGAGTCTGAGTACACTCTGGGGCACCCTGGGGAAAAGGCCACACTAGGTCGTGCTTACTCTCCCAGCAGGGATGCCATCTTAGCGCATTAATTTCAATTTGCTTAATTGTTCATCATAGGCTCAGGTAAAAAGAATGTGCCCCTTAGAGCCACTGGGGGACCATCCTATAAATCTAGATTGCAAGCAGTCTTAAGGAAACCAAAGTAAGCCATCCTATAAGTTGCCAAGGACCTCTGGGCCACACCAGCGCATGTCTTCACTGCCAACAACAGTGGAATCCAGGGAGAGAAAGGCCGATACAGAATAAGCCAATTCTTAGAATGAGCTTCTCTCAACCTGCGGAGACTAAAGAAAACTCCTGCACTCTTGGATGCAAAGTCAGGGTCCGATCACATCCTGACCAATATCTTTAAGAGCTATAGACAATTCTCACTGTACCTGGTATTTACTAAAGGATAAAGGTTGGTTTTCATAATTGAAATTGGCATTTCCCATACACTTTGTTCCCGTTTTCCTTTGTGTTTGAGTAGGCATGTTGATATGCAGATCGCTGCTGGCCACCCCTGGTGAGCCCTTGTCTAGCGCTCATGCACTTATTTATTTATTCATTGACCTCTTTGCTTTTAGCAAAGACCAGAACTGAGGGAGGTGAAGTAGATGTTAGCAACGTGTCAGGCAGGCCACGGGGTCTGGGCTTTCACCAGGGCCTTGCAGACAACACCAGATGTCTTCCAGAGTGGCTGTGTATGGCCTGGAACATTCAAAGCAATGGCATCACCCCTCTACCTACTACCATTTCTCCTGTTGATGAGTGATCAGAAAAAAAGGTAATTTAAGGTCGAGGAGATACTCTCCATGTCCTCCTCCTTCCTCTCTTGGAAATGGTCCTACACAAGATACTCTATCTACTAGGAGCAGGTCCCTTTCCTTTACAGCCAGGTGTTGAGAAATGTTAAAAACCAGCACATTTCCCCCCATGTTTCCTGTCTTCTGGTTATTTTGATCAAACAAACAGCTTTCCGATGTATCTTTCAGCCCAACTTTCCTGATGTAGGGCGGGAATCTAGAGCATCTACAGAAGCCAGCTCTGGCAATGGTTACTGGCAGCCAACAGTTACGAGGAATGCCTGTCTCTCTGTAGTGACCACTACAAGGGACAAACGAATGAAGTTATCCATCAATGAGGCAGCCATGGCTGTGCCGCTTGCTTCTACAGTTCCCACAAAACCACAGAGAGAGAGAGAGAGAGAGAGAGAGAGAGAAAAGAGCCTCCAGCAAATGCTTGCCGAAGAAGACAAACACACACACACTTAGCCCAGTTCTTGAAGGGGCTACTCTTAGCATTCCTCAAACATGTACATGAATCACCTAAATGTCTTGATGAAAGGCAACTCTGATGCATTTGTTGCATCAGATAGATTAGGGGTAGGGGTCCGAGAAAAATCTCTTCCAACAAGCTCCTTTGGGGCACTGACGCTGCCAGTCTCCCCAACTAGACTGAGCAACAAGGCACTCCTCAATGCGCCCATTTAGTTGTTCACTCTTGAACGTGTCATCTCTATTTTATTAGTAACTATCATGTGTAACGAATGCTTTCCTCCAAACAAGAACTGGCTGGGTTACGGGAGCAAACGAATCCCTGTCTAGTAATCACACAACATTATCTAGAAACCAGACTCTTCTACTCATGTATGTGAGCTTTTTGTTTTGGGTCCTGGTAGACAACTTGCTTGCTACCACCCAACGAAGCGAGTGGCTGTAGTGAAATCAAAGACCGTTTTCAAACTTGAAGCCATTCTAGTGACTGCCGGGACCCCACGCACACACGCTGTGGCAAACGTGAGTGGACAGCAGCAGGGAATGTGATTTTCTTTTTCAGTCCTTTACGTAGGCTATGTAGGAGCTAATTTATTTTTTTTCCAATTCCAGGATATTTCACGCAAGTCAAAGGGGAAAATGGACCCAAACGTGCCCGTCTCCTCTACCTGGTTATGTTTGATGTCTTCAGTGGGCGCACCATAGGAATTCCTGTACAAAGTTGAAATTCCAGTGTTTTGAGCTGAAAACAAGAGGGAAACAGAAAGTATTAGCAAAGAAGACAAGGTTTCAAGTGAGGAATAATGGTGATCGGGGCAAGTTCTTGCCCTAACAGAGCTTGGTTTCTCGGGGTGCATTCCAAGTGCCATGGCACGCGGGAGAATCCTTTGGCTCTGGACTCTTCATTTGATATGCAGATATAAGAAAGAAGAACAGTTAGGGGTTCTATCAAATCCCCAGAGCCCGGGAGTCTCTTACAGTCACGTTCAGACTGCAGACAGGGTTGGGGCCGGTCAGCAAACAGATGGGAAGCTTGCCAGGATTCTCGCCTCCTTCTCTGGTGAGAACCGGCGGCTAATAAAAGCTTGTCTCCCGCACTGAGGCATGCAGGCATCTTTATGAGTGACTTAGAGTTGAGCTGGAGAATGACAAGAATGAAATTTCTAATTTGGGCTCACAGAGTGCTTAATCATCACGCAGACAGTTCATTTCGCAAAGGCCCAAAGGCCGGGCAGGAAGCACCATCGGCATCTGTCCGGCACGCCTGGGGGGCTGCAGCTCTGGAACCCAGCTAGACACGGGGACAGGAGCCGCCCCTCTCTTGAGACTGGCTTGCAGGCTAGCTAAAAGGAGGGAGGGTCTGCTCTGCTGGCCAGCAGCTTTCAAAGGCACGGGCAGGGTTTGCCCCCTTCCTCCCCTAGAATCTTCAGAATCCTCAGGGTCATGCCACAGGCCCAGAGGAAGGGCCCAGGATGCTACTCCCCTTGTAATCGTTTTTATGATTTAAGAATGTTCTGGAAAGAACTGTCAAGTGTCAGTGGGGGTATAAAACACTCCAGAAACTAAGAAAGCCTTATCTTTTGCTTCCAGTATCTACGGAATGGTAAACTAGGATGACGCACCCTAGCTACTATCTTACAGATACAGTTCCTAGAGACCCAAGGTCAGTAATATCGATCACTCTACCCATGACTATTAATTAAAGCACCTAACTCCTGTGCAGGAAAAGTCCTCTTGGAAATCTGTGCTTAAGAAAGTGAGAGCTGAGGGCCCATTCTGAATTTTAAAGGCCCCCCTGACATCTTCTCTGGTTGGGTGTGCATAGCTCCTGTCTGTATTTTTCCTGGACCCCTGCCAGCTACAGAATCTTCCCTAACAGCCCAGTGGCCACCCCACCGACCCTGCTCCTCCACCCTCGCCATTCCCAGGAGCCAAGCCATCTTGCTGGACAGACAGGATTATGTCACTGCAGTGAGTGTCTTGCCAAGGTACGAGGCGCAGGATTGGGCCTGGATTGATTTCCTGCAGTATCTCCCTCCTTTCTCTTGGCCGGGGAGTCCTAGCCACACCCGCCTCTTTCCTTGCTGGACCCGGGCCAGCCGGACTTGCTTCCGGGATGTGGGTTTGTTGATCCTTCTCCCTGGAACTCATTTCCCCCAGGTTCTGGATTGCCTCTCCCTGTTGGGGTTCAGTCTCTTGCTCAAGCTCCTGAGAGCAGCCCTGCCTACCCGGGACCCTGTGTCTTCTGAACCTGTTTATCTTCTCCATCATACACAACCCTACGTGGTACTACCTTGGTGGTGAGCTCGTTCTATTGTCTACCTCGCGCGGCACCTCCCTTCACCTATGACAGCAGATGTACCGGGAGGTCAGAAATCGGTCTGTCCTGCCACCTTCACCAGTACATTGGCGTCTGGGACAGCACCTGGCCTCAGCAGATGCTCACAGAGTCAGGGCTTTATTTGCTGAGGCAATGAGTGGAGCGTAACCCTGAGAATATATGTCCTCAAGCACTGCAATGTGCCGATGAAAAATGTCATTGCAGGGTGAAATTTTGTGGTTTTCTCTTTTCTGTTACTTGGAACAAAATGCATTTTTTTATTTGCTGGAACATGTACTATTAGAGCCTTGTGCCCCTCTCTCTGTCTCCTTAGAAGCTAAAGATGCTTCTATTAGAAGTTCTTCCCTCCTGCCCTTTGGTCCACTTCACCTGTTTAAGAGAGGGTGTGTAGCCGAGATTGAACTTGCGGCTTTTGCAAACACATGAAGCAGGTGTCTTCGTGGACACTCTGCCCTTGTACGTCTGACCTAAGAGGACACATGTAAGAAAATGCCTTTCTTCTTTTGTATAAGCCCCGATCGCCAACTGAATCAACACACGGAAGATGAGAATGGCTTTAATAAGGCATAAGAGAGAATGACACAAACGGGCTAGACCATTTGATGTAAAGGCATCTGGGAAGCTCAGATGGGAGGGCAAAATCCCCTGGGTGAATTTTAAAGTCACGCCGTGTAGCTGCTGGGATCACACAGCCCTCCCCTGATGCATGCTTCTGAACACGTAATGTTCCCGGGGAATCATGACCATGAGCAATAGCTCTCGCCAGCCTGCATGCCTGAATGAACAGCTGATTCTGGCCTTCTGAGGGTTCCACGATGGCAAGAGAACACTAAGGGAGAAGACATTTTGAAAGATTCTGTCTCAGCTAGATAATGAATCCAGAGAAGGTGAGTGGGGGAAGCCTGGCACAAAAAAACCTAGATGAATCTGCATTTCTAAGGGCTCAGTAGACGAGATTCAAACTTGGCAAGAACCTGTTCTCCCTTTAAGCCGTCCCACATGGTGTTTTGAGGGTGAAGCTTCCCACGACTTTCTCATAGCAGAGGGAGTGTTTTCTTTGGGGGAAATGGTAGGACATCCTCTGATGTCTTAGAAACAAGGGAGACGGCAGTTTTCAGGTATCTTTCAATGTACTCTACCGTAAGCCTCCCCTGGATATTTTTGAATGGGAACAAGTACTGCTCTTGATGTGGAGGACACGAGAAATCTGATGTGCATGTCAATGCTGAAATGACGGGCACGTGCAAAAGTGCCGTGGAGCCAGAGCTGGCCATTCATCCTTTCCATTCCTGTGTGAGACGGGGCTTCCACTGGTTAGTTGGGCGCTTATTCATGCCACTGTGGAAGGTAGTAAGTAGACACCTCCTCCATCACCAACCCCTCCAGCACCAACTCTACCTCCACCATCACCACTTCCTCCATCATCACCACTTCCACTATCACCACCTCCACCATCACCTCCTCCACCAATACTGCCGCTAACTTCTCCATTACCACCTCCTCCATCACCACATCTTCCACCACCTCTCCCATCATCACTGTCTCTTCCATCACCATCAGCACCTCCTTCATCACCAACTCTACCTCCACCATTACCACCTTCACCATCTCCTCCGTCACTTCCTCCACCACCACCACCACCACCTCCACCTCTTCTGTCACCTCCTTCACTATCACCTTCTTCATCTCCTCCATCACCACCTCTGCCATCACCACCTTCACCATCACCAACTCTACCTCCACTGTCACCACCTTCACCATCTCCTCTATCATCATCACCATCTTTCACCATTACCTCCTCCATCATCCCCGCTCCTATGTCCACATCACTACCTTCACCTCCTCCATCACTTCCTCCATCACCACATCCACCATCACCATCTCCACCTCTTCTGTCACCTCCTCCACTATCACCTTCATCTCCTCCATCACCACCTCCACCATCACCTCCCCCCCACCAACTCTACCTCCACCATCACCACCTTCACCATCTCCTCCATCATCACCACCATCTTCTACCATCACCTCCTTCACCATCACCACTTCTAATTCCACATCACTGCCTTCACCTCCTCCATCACTTCCTCCATCACCACCTCCACAATCGCCAGCTGCACCTCTTCTATCACCTCCTCTGCTATCACCTTCTC